AAAAAAGAAAACGGTCAGCTAATATTTTCACGACTTCCTAAACAGGATTTTTAAACATTGGTGAACTTTGCGTTTTTGGGTGCTTTTTTAAAAAACCGTTTCCGTTTTCAAAACATGTTTCTTCTTCGTGGATTTTATATCAAACAAATTCCTTTTGAATGAATTATGTCTGTTCCAAATTACAGCGTTCTAGAACAATTTTTGCGCGAGATAATCAGAAAAAAGTTGTAAAGTTGTTTTTTTGGATCACCCTGTACTTCGATCCTTTGTAAGAGAAAAGGACTTTGCCGTCTCTCAAGACATACACGTTTCTGTGAGTGGATATTTTTCTTAGTTTTAGTAAGAGTTTTACGGCACTTGCAACATAACGTAATATGAGTGCCGAAGATTAGAGGTGTTACAAGAGAGTAACAAACACAAAAGAGAAGGAGGAGAGATGAAGACGATACATGTTTGATAGGAAAGAAGGAGCAAACCACACCAGAGCATCCGCCAACCACCCACAGACTTTTCTTATTCAAAAAGAAGTCTTAATCAAATGTGTGCTGGATCTACTCCATATTGGGAATTTATTTGGGTCCGTTCCTGTCACTCTGTTATGTAAATAGGGAGCTCAACTGAAGGATGTGTGGTGATGATAATTTCCCCACAGAAAGTTTCTGTCAGGAACCTGTAGCCATCAACTTCGGCACATGAACTACACTTCATGACGGCTGTTACCATTGCCATTGGGAAATATTGAGAGGATTTACATCATTTTCATTTTAGTTAGAGTTTTACGGCATTTCTAGCACAATTAGATCACATAGGTGGCAAAGATGAAAGGTGTTGCAGGAAAGTAAGACACAAAAAAGGAGGGGAGATACAGACAATGGATGTTTGATACCAAAGAAAGAGCAGACCACACCAGAGCACCGCCAACCACCCACAAGGGAGTGGTCGTTTGAACAGTTGGTGAAATAGAGCAGGTTCCGCTGTACTCACAACTGAAAAAAAACCATAGGGTCAAGTGTCGTTTTGTTTAAGTAAGAGTTTTACGGCACTTGCAGCACAATAAGGTCATATAAGTGTGGAAGATTAGAGGTGTTACAAGAGAGTAACAAGCACATAAAAAAGGAGGAGGAGAGATAAGGATGATAGATGTTTGATAGAAAAGAAGGAGGAGTGATAAGGAGAGATAAGGACAATAGATGTTTGATAGAAAACAAGAGCAAACCACACCAGAGCACATGCCAACCACCCACGTCAAGTGTTAGAAAAAATCAAACTTTCCCAACAAATCAAACGCAAAAACTGTGTATTCTTGAGGGTTTAATTACGTAGAGAGATACAAAAAACACAGACATATTATGTGTACCAATGACAGAGGTGACGACTACTTCCGTGATTGGAAAGACATTGTTGCCACTACAACAAACAAAGATTTGAATTTGAACAACACACAAACCAAAGAAAAACAGGAAGGAGAAAAAGATCAGTTGAACCTAGAAATAGAAATATAGGCATCATGAAACTTCCACAGATAACTGAATTCAACATATTGTGGTATAGAAGTTATTATAATTATAACAAACTGCACAGTGAAATTTGCAGATAATTTTTTTTAAATAAAAAAATTTATCACCCCAAACAAAACCAAAAATTAGCTAAAAAAACAAAAGTATTCATCGTTAAGCGATTTTCACAAATTTCAGGGTAGAAAAATGTTTAAAGAAAAAACCCAACAAACTATCCATTGACATCTACCAAATGAACACATGTAAAGTTTCAACCCTTCAAAAATGCATTTGTAAGCCATTTGTGCATGCAAAAGCGTGACAATAGTTACGCGGGTGAAATAGAATGTGAACTTTTCTCAAAATACAAGTCAAATTTACCAAAAAATCACAAAAACAAAACCACTTTACAAATAAGACAGGAAGAGCAATGGACAAATCCATAGTTCTTCACGCCCCTTCCTTCCAGGTAACCAAAAAAAAAAAAAGTCTAACCAAAATGTCATCATTCGACATTCACAGAGAGTCAAATTGGAACTATGTGCGTCACGACGCAGTGGAATCAGGCGCTCGTCAATTTTTTAAAATGCAGAGTTATTGGTATCATTTTAAAGTTTGTTCATTTATCTTGCTTTCTGTGAAAAAAATACTCATCTATCATAAATAGGAGTCGAGATATTTGCAATTGAAGGAGGTGGGGGTTGCTTGGTTTCAGATGTAAACTTAGCGAGAAAATGGCAATCAAAGTGCCTAAAGCTTGAGAGTCCATAGAAACTGAAAATATACATTTTTGTGCCTCAAATCAACATTTCTAAGTAAAATCCAGAAATGTGTTTTTAAATAGACCGTAACCGTGTTGAGTCAAAAAACAAAAATTGTATAAAAATTGCCAAACACACAGAAAAATGCCAGTTTCTTCAGATTCATTATTTTGAGGAGTGCCTGAACTCACCACGAAGCCTCACATGTGATTGTTTGATAACTGTAGGAGAGGACAAGAGGGATGGGAACTGCGGGTCAGGTCGGGAACAAATATCCAGTCTTCTATAGGCCACTCTGAAGGTACATTCACAGGTACAGTATGTGCATATATAGGTGCACAATGCTCCATTTTGACGGATTCTGCGCGACTAAATTTGACTGGTATTGCCCTGAGCGCTGTTACCCTTTCATCTCTTTCAAAGTCCTCAAAAGTCCCACATTTAGGCAATAACAATACCCTCTTGTAGTCTATGAGACTACTTTCGTGTAATTTCAAGGTCATATTTTGACAGCATCATTCCAAAAATGCCCAAATCAATGTGTGGAGGTTTCTAAACTTTACTTTTACTTTTATCTGACACTAGTACCCTTTTGGGTGTCGCGGGAAGAAAGAGACGTCTCTCTGCCACCAGACGGAGAGCTAGGGTCAGGGGGATGCTGTGAGTCGTTACTGTTTCCCTGACTCCATCTATCCAGGTTTCCAAACATTTCCCCAAGAAGGCATCACAAGAGACATCTTACAATACATAGACTCGTTTTGTTCCATTTTTCTCCTGCCTAGTTTTTAATTGAAAAAAAACAAAACGAAATAAGAAATGCCAAAGTCATGGTTGTGGTTTGAGCAATTTCTTTTTTGTACTTTGGTATTCTTTGCCATATCGACAGACCGAAGGGCTAGAACCCAAATGGCTGCTGGATCGGAAAAGTAAAAAGTAAAGTAAAGTACTTTGGTAATTTTCTCAAAACTTTACCCAAAAAATGACATTGGCGCTAGCGGAATAACTTCCGACGATGTGCAACTGCAAGATATAGCGTGTCTCAACTGAGCAAAACTTCTGGTGTGCACCCCAAAACCAACGACAAGTCAATAGACAAACAAACAGTTGTTGGTAAAAACGTGACCGCGTCCGAAACTGCATAATAATATGGTCAATTTAATGAGTGCGCAAAACAGTTGTAAAGACATTTTGTTGTGTGTAACCTCAAAGGTCTCTCGTCAGTGTTCACAGCCAGAACTAGAGCCATAGATGGTGAAGGGGGAAGAAAGGAGAAGTCCCACAGCAGTACAAGCAACGGTCCAAAAATAAAGACGGTACGTTGGTACTGCGTCTCTCGTCTGTCCCGCCGGTACCTCATCTAGCGACAGTCTTGGACGTCTTCTCTCTACTTCCTCATCTAGCGACAGTCTTGGACATCTTCTCTCTACTTTCTCATCTACAAAATCCCAGTCATTTCTTTTCTTTAAAAGTGAGAGGGAGGGAGAGGGGGTTCCGTCCAGCTTGTTTTGTGGGTTAGATGTGTGAAAGTTTTACAACGCTAGCAACTGCACAAGGTCCCACCCCATGCACACAATGCAAAGAGTCCAGCCATTACACTACAAGAAGCTGGACAAATATTTCTGCCCTCAGGGCTTTTAATTCAATCCCGTTTCTCCCCTTCAGCCCACGAAACAACTTCCTGGGATCCTTTCCTCTTTATTTCAATAAGCTATTATATAATTTATACAGCACAGTGCAAATACCACAAAACCCGTCAAACATGGATGAACATTCTGAGAGTGAAACAAGATCTGTTCAAAGAAATACCAAACCAGAAGAAAAAAATATTGTAAATATAGAAAAAAAGTATTCAATCAAAATATTATGTATGCAAAAAAGCTGAAGTAAATCAAAGACCTCAACTGGTCAAAAAGCCGTAGAAAATTCACAGCTTTTGATATTTTGAAGACAGTGATCAGGGTATAAAACACCATACTGAACGTTGTATTCACATAGCCGAGTCAAGTCTGCATAAAATTAAACATCATATCCGCCAAAGATCAAAACAATAATAATAAAAATAAAAATCCTAATCACAAGCATAATAATATAATAGTGGCAATAACGATAATAATGTTTTCCCTACAAAAGTAGAAAGAACTAAAATGTCCCCAGAGTGAGTACATTATCTCAATTTCTGCCCCCCCCCCCCTCCCGGCTTATTGGGATACCATTGTGTCAGGTATTATGTCACCTCAGTCATTTAGAAATACAGCTTAAGTTCAAAGTTCAGAGGCTAAAAGTTGTCTGCAAACAAAGCCAGAGACATGACGAAAAAACAAGTACAAACACAGGTAGTCAATACTGTTGGTCCACATCATGCTTTAACTCTTTATCTCTGGCAAGCCGCTCCCAGTTGGAACCACTGTGTCGGTGAGTCGTTGACAGTACATAGGCTCGGGCACATTCATTTATGACGACTTCAACATCAAATTACTCTACGACAGTTGCCGAAAACAGATCTCTTTTATCGGGATTTCATTCATTAGATGAAGAACTATCAAAATAGGTTCACTTGTTTTCATTTAATGACCAATTTAGCAACATTTTTGATCATTTTTAGATTTAGTATTAAAACATGCCGCAGTATAGTGGGTTTACCCCCTCGGAGATAAAGAGTTAATTGCACAGGTTCATCCTAGTTAGAAAACAAAACAAAAAAATCAAACAAAAACAGCACTTATGTGCAAAAACAATTTTTAAAAAAAGGGTATATTATACATAAATGCCACATAAACCCTTCATAAAGATAACATTTTTCTTCAAAACCCAGCAAAAAGGATGATTTTTTTCATAACACGTCTTCCAGAGTCCCCGGAAAAATCATTGCAAGACGGCAAAAGTATTGAGCGGGCAGAACGCCAAAGACAGGGGGAAAGAATAACTCCACGTCTCGCACAGCCCCGACACTCTGAGGACAACCGACTTGACGAAGATACACGATAAAACTGTTTCTGATACAACACAATACGATTATTTCTACCATCTGGGGAAAAACACGACGGTGACATCATCAGCCTTCCGTCTGGTCATTCCTCCTCTTCTTTTTCCTAGTTTCACAAATTGTACTTTAACAAAAACCCAACAACAAACAAGCGTACAATAAAGACCATTCTCGGGTCAAATAGAACACAAAAGCATGCGAGGGAAAAAAACGAAAGAAGCAACAATTAAGTAAAGTTACGTCATGACAAAGCAGACTCCAATGTTCTGCAGAAAAATATATTATTATTCATGTCAGCAAAATATGTACATAGTTTACACAACTCCTCCCTGCCCAAAACTTCGACCACAGACTTCACAGCGTAAGACTAAGATTAAGACCAGTTACTACAGATAGCTTCGGCCAAATCCATGAGGGCTGCTTTCCTCTACAAAAGCAGGATTCCGGATGTGTGGAAATGATCCTAGTTACTAGTAAGAAACAGTACCTACCATACAGACAGCCAATCACTGAGCACAATTCTCTTTTCCCACGGACAACTACAAAATGTTCTCTGTCCCCGATGATCTGTCTCCTTGCACCGTTACTTTCACTTTCTAAATGCCACGCCACTTCAATTGACATGAATGACAGCAGTGGGGGCTCCTATTTGTCATCAAGATTCAAAGCACTTTCTCCGTTCTTCCATCTCCTACTTCTCCTCAGCCAGTTTCATCAGCCCGTGACAACACTGCCCAAATCCACGCCACAACCAACTCACTTTTACTTTACTTTACTCATCCGGCAGCCATTTGAGTTCTAGCCCTTTCGCCTAATGCCACGACCCACAAAGAAACTGTAACAGTAAGCCGTGTTACATTACACTGTGAAGTCTTTACAAAGACAAACTATAACAGTAAGCCGTCTGACACTGTGAAGTCTGTCAGTCTTCCACCATCAAGTCTGTCCTCAGACAGCAGCCCGACAATCTCAGATCCTGCTTGGGTTTCCCTGTGAGTCTCCTACCTGTGTTCCCGTCAACACCATCACCACCGACGGCAAAACAGCTCGAGCTCAAACGTCTCTCTTCATCATCAACGACGACGACCAAGCCCAACAAAACAAAACATACACCATAGGCCACAAGACCAGGTAGCCAGTTTTTTTTCTGTTTTAAAAAAAATACAAATTTAGAAAGTCCAGAGAGAACTACATTATCCGATTATCACAGTAACAGTACGAAAAGCAACGTTTCTAGTGTGTGTTCATTTTATCTTCTCACCCCCCCCCGGCTTTTTCTTCCTGCTCCCTTCCCACTCCCAGACCTGGGCACTAATCTCGTGCTTAAAACACAAGCCTTATCATGAAAAGTGGAACTTCACACACTTCAAATTCTAATTACAGCAGGAAATAAAATATGTCAACTTCCTAGATAATTTTTCTCCCCCTAGGGTGAAAAATCTAAATAATACCCATTCTGCATCTCCACTTCCAACAAGAATTTCAGAAACAAAAGACTTCTTAGTTTCCTAAAAGATGCAACAAATTAGACAGTTCCAAAACTAAGGGAAATCACGATTTGGCTTTTTTCAGTTCGTAACAGCTTTGGAAACGAAGTACCTCAAAGCCCCCCCCTCCCCCGACTGTGAGACTGTGTGGCACAAGTACAAGAGGTAACTGTCATCATGAGGTGGCCACGCAGGGGTGAACAAAGCAATCAGTGCCGCACGTCAAAGCAATGAAAATTACACTTGTGTCACGTGGTGGAGTCAGGCGCTCGTCAATTATTGGGCATGTGGAGTTATTGGTATCATCTAAAAACTTATTCACTATCTTGAAAAGAAGTCAATATATTTTAGATTGAAAAAGGTGCTGACGCTTGGTTTCAAAGGTACAAATAGCGAGAAAATGGCCGTCGCCAAAGTTTGGTTATTTTGATAGCTTGACAGTCCATGGAAACTGAAAACTTACTTTTTGTGCCTTTAATCAACGATTTTCAGTAAAATCCACACAGAATTGTGTTCTTAATTGTACACCAATGGTGTCAGGCCCAAAAACAAAAATTCGATAAAAGTTGCCAAACTGGCAGAAGAATGACAATTTCTTCAATTTTATTAAGTAGACGAGCCCCTGATCTCCCCACAATGTCTCACATATATATAATAACTGGCGGCACCACGGCCACAACACAAAAGTATAAACATGCCGCAATGACTTCTTCATAAGGAGAATCAAACTCATGCTCAAGTTTCAGGCAAAGAAAAATTTTTAATACACATGCAAAAAAAAAAAAATGGTCTTGGGAAATTATCATTAAAAAAAAAAAAGCCGCAAAAACTCTTGATGAAAGACATTATTATATTATTTATGAACAAAAAAAAAAATTCATTTACTGCCAGAAACTTGGCCAGAACATTAGAAATGACTTTGGTATCCATATTTCATAGACAAATCAATTTTATGCATCCTGTGCCCAGTCAGAAAAAGCTGAGAAAGAATGTGAGATTAAAACAAAAGACAAAAATGTTATACGTTCTTAGATCTGTGGGTGCTTTCTGCTGGTGGAAAAATTTTTTTTTGCCAGATTAGGAAGCAAAAATTAAAAAGAAAATCTATTTACAACAGTGTCGCTGGTAAATGCTCATTAGCTTTGACATAGAAATCTTCATAACAAACATTTGCAATAGTGCATGAAAACATAACTGTCAATAGCTGACAACGACAGACATTTTGATACTGGACATGAGACACAACGTACTTTTATATGCTTTGGATAAAAACTTCACATTTTGAACATCGGGGAGATGGGACCAACCTATCTTGTCTTAAAAAAAACAACAACCCAAAAACCCTTTCTAGGAGAAGGTACAAACTCCTAGACAATACTTTCCGTCAACTCGCATAACCAAGCTATTTGTCCAGGTACAGGGTTACGCCTCTGTGATACGGGCTGGTCTATTCTATCCCATAACATTGAAAAATGGCGTATTTCAAGATACAGCGGATTGATCCCATACGCCTATGCTTGGTATATCATGCGACCCCAGACGAAAGCCTCTACATCAGACACTTATTGTGTTATTGCCGGGTCATGAAAAGACCAAAACAATGTTCACTCAGTATTTCTCTTCGTCTCTTTTGTCCACACGTTTTCAAACTCGTGGGATATTCCGCCACATGGCTGAAGATCTCAAAACTTCCAGGAAGTCCCAGATCTACGTATGAAACAAATCAAAACAAAGTTTCCGCTTCATTCAAAGAGATGAGCCATACCGAGAGACTGCAGTACTAAACCATGCCCTCGAGGGTGATTGAGCTCATTCAACATTCTTGTTATAAATTTAAACAGGTACTGTGACCCATTTACGCTTATAACTACAATAAAAATTCAAGACAAAATTCCACATTGTATCACAAAATATTTTTAAAAATTCAAGACAAAATTCCACAATGCATCACAAAATAATTCATAAAAATTCAAGACAAAATTTGAACATTGCATCACAAAATAATTTCAGATTTGCCTCAAAGGCAACATTTCAGTGAGTGCGAACCTAGAAATAAAACTTCTTCCTCAGCACTGTCAAGTAACCAGAATTCACGGTTCACACTCCGGTAACCATAGCAACAGGCGTAAATTGTACGGAATTAATGTAACACCCCTCCCCCCCCCCAAACAAAACAAACCAAACACATACAAGAGACATAAAGCTATCATCTACCGAGTAACACAGAAGCTGCAAAAGATTGACACAGAACACGAGACACATCAAAATGGAAACATTTTACAGGAAAAAGCAAAGATATCCAAGAAAAACACCTCGTGGAGTCTTAACTTTTTCTTGTTATAACAATTTTAAAAAACCAATCACATAACGGAAAGAAAAAACAAGTACTGCAACTTAATCTATTCTTATACTACCAGAAATGAAATAAATTCATTAACACCCATAAAATGAAAGAAAAAAGAACTACCTTTTCAACTCCTGGTAATATTTCTATAATAAAAAACAACTAATCCATGAATCTTCCACTACAATACTCGATACGCAAACTCTCTAGATTCTATGAAAAGCGATCAAGAATGCTTTCGACAGAACTCTTAACAACACTTCTGACAGAGTTGAACATATGCATATATATAAATATATATACCACCAATTCCAACCCACCCTTCCCCTTACACATTATGACCGAAACATTTTACCGTGCCAGCCCATCCTAAACTTCAAATCCACCCAACAAAACAGCCCCATTGGCAAATCGTCCCACATGGAAACACCCATGCTGTACTGTTGACATTTACACAGCGTTCTCTTCTCCCCACGTAGGAACACCCGCCGCACTGTCGTCGTTTACACAGCGTTCTCTTCTCCCCACGTGGGAACACCCGCCGTACTGTCGTCGTTTACACAGCGTTCTCTTCTCCCGCGTCGTCCACACCGTGCACGATGATCTTGAAGATCTGCGGGTGCTCGATGTAGTTGCCCAGGACGGCGTACACCAGCGTCTTCTCATCGGGGGCTCCGTACTCCGCACTGCGTTTGCTCACTGGAACAGCAAACACAAAGATTCAAGTGGCTCACTTTTTAAAAAAAATGTTAGATACAAAGATACAAAGAGCATTTTAGTTTTCGTAACAGTTTTACATAGAAATTAGTTTTTTAAAGTTTTAATAAGTACTACAGTGCATACAGTGCAAGCTGCCATTTTACAGTAGCTAAAACACTAAAATACAGACATGATTTTTCGCTGTCTACAGCCAGGTACCAATTCCCACCTGGGCGAAGTGTGAAAAATCTGTATAAAGTGCCTTTCCCCAAGGACAAAACATTGGGCCTGAGGCTCGAACTCCCAAACACGCAACCCACGATTACGAGTTGGTAACCTGACCATTAAGATAAGATAAAATAGATAATAACGCTGACAAAATGTACATATTACATTAGATGCATAATTCAACCACATGCAGGAATTTAATTACAAGCCCTTTAGAGTTACATAGATACATACTGGAAAGAGCAATCCACACTGACGGTTATTCTGACAATAGCCTTATGCTGGATGGTAAAAGACCACAGACGCCATTGTAAACACGCAGCATGTACACACAGCTGACCAGCGACGGACATACCTCCACCGACAAACTTCTCCATCCAGAAGCTCTCATAGCTGCCACACTTGGCTCGGATGCGATTGCCGAACGGGGCCAAATCCTCGAGGGCTGGCTTCACCAGACGATAATTGTCCCGAACCACGACCGCGCTCTTCATGTAGTAGCCGGACTGTTTGTTGACGAGGGGGCGCAGGTCCAAGGTCAAAGTGGTGCCAGGGATTGAAAAGACAATGACGAAGGTGATTGGTCGTGCTTTTGTATTCGTAAGAATATTAAGGCACTTGCAACTCAATTACATCATATATGCGCTGAAGACTAAGAGGTGTTACAAGAAAGTATCAAACACAAAAAAGGAGACAAAAGAACAGTACATGTTTTGCTTTCTTTAAGTAAGCGTTTTATGGCACATGCAACAAAAGAAGGTAATTTAAGTGCCAAAGAATAGAGGTGTTACAAGAGAGTAACAAACACAAAAAAGGAGGAGAAGATATAAGGACAATAGATGTTTGAAGTTTTATAGGAAAGAAGAAGCAAACCACAACAGAGCACCGCCAACTTTCCATTAAAGATGATAGAGATAGAGGAGAGTCATAGTTTACAAACACAGTATACCAGACATAGATTTTCACGCAAAGACCGCAAAGACCCCTTCAGTACATATTCTAATCCAGAGAATGTGCTCATTGTTGTTGTTGTTGCTAACAACAGTACACACAAGAGACTCACAGAAAATTTCAACAAAGTAAAACAGACAAACCGCACCGAGGAGCCCAACAGTTGAGTGCAGTGTACATTAGACTTGGCAGACGAGACAAAACACAAATCTCGACTCGTACCCCATTTTATGACAAAAACATGGCAATGTACAAAAGGTAAAGTGCTGTGTATTAATAAATAGACAAATAAATATAGATCAATACATGAATGAATGAATGAAAAAAAAAAAAATAGATAAAAGAATAAATAAATGAATAAAGAAATAAATAATAAATGAATAAATAAGTAAAATGAATATTGTATTGCACACCATGAGCTTCTCTAAAAGATCCAGAATGTCCGATGGCGGTGCAATGTTGGCACGGTCGAGCCTCATGATGTAGCATCTCTCCAGTCTGCGGTCCATGATGGCTGTGTAGTTCTGAAAACAAACAGAAAAATACAATTCAAACACAAGAAGGGGGGGGAAGAATTTTTAAAAAGCAGCTTTATCAGCCTTAAGAAAAACCTGGCTCAAAGTGGTTGTTATCAACTGAAATTTTTTTTTGCCCCAGTGGAAAATTTTCGGTGGCTGTACAAGAAAGGTAAAAACATATGTTGATATCCATAATATTTAAATTGTTTTAATTCTCACAAATATCAAAGTCAAAACTCTAACCAAATCTGGACAAAAACAGCTGAAATGGTATGGTGAAAACTGTGAAATAGTAGTATTGGTTTAACACCTGTATCTACACTTTGAGATTATTTATGAGGGGGGGGGGGGGGGGGGAACCTCCAAGTTTTAACATTTATCTCCAAAAGGACCAGGAAAACCGCCACGAATAATTAGTGACCAAAAACTCTTACAGAAAACTAAGAAACAAAAAGCCATCCGAACTTACCGAGACAAAGTCGTGCCAGACCGTGTTCTCGCGCACCTCATCAAAGCTGGGCGTGTGCATCTCCTCGTACTGCTCGACGCGCGACACCTCGATGCCTTCCTCCATGAAGTCCATCACGTAGTGTGCCTTGTACATGGCCTGGGGCTGGGGGGAGTGGGGGGACTGGGGGGCCTGGTCCTGGAGGAGTTCGGCGTCCACAACGTCCCCACGCAGCTCGTGGTACTCAGGGTCGTAGAAGCGGGTGCCGCACATGCCCGTGTACACCTGGTGGGGGGGGAGAAAGCAGGCGTTCAGTCTACTTGATGATGGTCTAACGCAGTGTTTCTCTTCGACTTGTTTATTCTACTGCGATGTTTCTGTTTTACTTGTCAGTCTACCACAGAGTTTCTGATTTACTCAATGTTCTACCACAGAGTTTCTGTTCTACTTGTTGGTCTACCGCGATATTTCTGTTTTACTTGATGGTCTACCGCGATGTTTCTGTTTTACTTGATGGTCTACCGCGATGTTTCTGTTTTACTTGATGGTCTACCACAGAGTTTCTGTTCTACTTGTTGGTCTACCGCGATGTTTCTGTTCTACCTGATGGTCTACCGTTATGTTTCTGTTTTACTTGTTGGTCTACCGCGATGTTTCTGTTTTACTTGTCAGTCTACCGGAGAGTTTCTGATTTACCCGTCAGTCTACCGCGATGTTTCTGTTTTACTTGACGGTACTTGTTGGTCTACCGCGATGTTTCTGTTTTACTTAACAGTGTAACAAAGGACCAGTCTGACAACTGTTCCACTTGACATAAGCCACGTGAACAATTTTTAAATCCTACCCCTAACCATAAACAAAATTCATTTGGAAGATTAAATTCTGGAGTAATGTGCTGTGGTGACTTGTCAAAAAGTACCAAGTTCAGAGCTCCAAGCACAGTCAAATGACTTACTTCTTTCGTGTCTTTCTGGAAGTGAAGAAAGTATACATTCGGGAAGCCAGATTATTTTATATTTTATAATATATAAATAACATTATCAACAATGTATCCTTTTAGTATTTTAGTAAAAGTAAAGTTGTTCCCGCATCCGATCCGGACATAGGAGATTGCCTTGTTAGTGAGACAACTTCCTGGGCCTTCGGCATATTGTGGAAGGGTGGCCAGTTCCTTTCCACGCTGCCTTTACTTCCCCAACTTGAAGTCAGGTACCCACTACTGCTGGGTGGGTAGGAGGGGGCGAAAAAAATCTGTGTCCAAATCGAGGCCTGAACCTGGACTTTCCGCTTCGGAGACGAGAGCACTAACCGCTCCGCCACCCCACCCTTTTAGTGCAAAGTAATAAAGATGCACCGAGTGCATGTCTGGGAGTTTAAATCTTAAAATATCCATCACAAGTGTATTGGCGTGAACTAAACACAAATACCAATATCTATATAGCCTGTGCCAGAACCTGGAACCCCTAAACAGGTCACAAAGGACCAACATTTAAAAATAGTTCCTTTCAGGTTCAATACCATAAATGTATAAGTAACTGGTGCTAGTTTCATCATGACTTACAAATAGAGCAGCAAAATTATTATTTTGCGAGAAATTTGGATGTTTGATGGTCACTTTTGGATTCCGATGTGCATAACTATGATGACAAAATATACAGTCAAACCTGCCCTGACGGCCACCTCTATAAGACGGCCACCTCTATAAGACGGCCACTTCCCATTCCCCCCCTTGCGTTTTTTCTATACAATTTAACAGTGTAAAACGGGCACCTGTCCAACGCGGCCGCGGCCACAATATTTTAACACACAACCCCTATCACACTAAGCAATAACACCTGTATTAGACGGCCACCTCAGTGACTCCCTTACGTTTTGTCATAAATTGTGCATTGGCCCCTGGCGTTGTGGGCGAGCCGCCGTGATTCAATCATCTGTCGTTGTTGTTAGGTAGTCCCTCCAATCGATCATGATGCGAAGGCCCCTCCCACTGTTGACCAATAGCTACCAATTTTCAGCTGCTGGTGAGGTAAGCATGTGATCCCTCATAACCCATAAGCCCCGCCCAGAACTCATACACAAATCGT